TTTAAATGTATGCAAGTATATACAAACATATATGTCAATAATTAAACTTACTATTGTAGATATTTTCAAAAACAAAGGTTCGAAATTAGAGTGCAAAAGTACAGTCGGAAAAATTACCCATCGCATTTGAAAATTATTCAAACAAAAAAATATTTTTTTAATCATTTACAGCTTGTAGACCGGTCAGCTTGGGCATCCAATTCGTACCCAACAGAACATTTGTAGGTTCGGCGGTCGCAGTAATCGAAAGGTTTCGCTTTGCGTACTGGCATTCGGAAGATCAGGGTTCTAGTACTGGTCTTAATTTTGAATTTTTTCACTATCCATTGTTACTTTAATGTTTCTGCTTTGTTTTTTGTTGTTGTTTACACTGAACAAAAATTGTTGGCATAGTTTATACTTCCCATCCATAAAACACCCAGATAAGCTCATTTAATTTTTTTTTTAATGTACCTTATGTTACTATAAGTGAATTCCAGATGCGATTTTTACTCAAAAAAAAAATATATATATACAATATATACAAACATATGTATAAACAATAATTGCACCAGGTGTTGGGTAAGACTTATCAGTATTGCAATTGGGACGATAAAGGCTGAAGATTTTAACAACACCTCACCACTTTAAATTAATTTATTAACAAATAAGTTAATCTGCCATTAGCCGATAACTTTAATTTCAGAATCTATGAGTACGTAGCTGACGAGAGAGTAGAGTACTTAATGAGAAAATTGAGAGGTCAGAAGTAGCAGCCGGGATCAGTGTCACAGCTGAGTGCCTAAATTTTTTACGGAGAGTAAATTTTGACCAATGAAATGAACACATTATTCATTATGGATATACTTATAATTAAATGTATAAAACAGTGTCCTCAGCGCCTATATAAATTAATGCGGATCTATAATTCAAATCTTTTATAGGCTGCTTCGGTCTGGAACACATATTGATTTTGTTCGTGTTGTATTAAATTAATTGCATCTTTCAAATCGAAGTGTTCAAGTCAATATTTACTAAATAAAAAAAATTGGTGATGAAAAATAGTTATAGAAATGAAATAAAATAAAGCCAAACAAAAAAATTGCATTTTATTTAATTTAAAAATAAAATACATTACAGATTAAAAAAAATATAAAATTAAAATAAAATATAATTTTGTAATATAAAAATACTAGAAACTTAATTTAATTTAATTCATTTAAATAATATAAATAACTAATACGGAAAATAATTTAAAACAATCAAAAATAAAAATTTTAAAATTTAAATTAAATAATTGAAAGTAAAATTGTATAACATAAGATACAAAAAAACTAAAATTAAAACTAGTTATTAACCAGATATAAATAAAGGTATTATACGGAATAATACTAAATAAAATAATATAAAGCAAAATATAATGAATTGACATTAAACAAATAAGTCAAATAAAATAATAAATTCCAAATATAATAAAAAAAAGAAATGAATTAAATGAAAATAAAACTTTATTATGTATAGAAAATAAATAATGTAATTAAATTTAATAAAAAATAATTATCAAATGAAATCAGAAACATATAAAAAAAATTAAATTGGATTCTTTTATCAGGTGTACAACTTTGCTTCCGCCGTTTTCCGATAGGTGGCTGTACCGGCTGAGGCTGGTTGAAATACCTAGATGATAATTCCTTTAGAGTGAGTGTGGACACTGCCGAACGAATTGTCATCGCCGTTTCAGTGACAGTTGTTCTTGTTATCGTATTATTCACGCTCGCTCGGAAATGTCCGTTTATGTGCCTGATTCTCGCCATTTGCGGGAAGTTTTACTTTTCTGTTACAATTCGAAAAAAAATGCGCATCGAATGCTCTCAGAAACTTACAGTGATGCTGCTCTGAGTGAAAGAACGTGTCGGGAGAGGTTCCAACGTTTAAAAAATGGTGATTTCGATGTCGAAGACAAACATGGGGGTTATGCTTTGTATTTGGTGGGATCAGTTCGGTGTGATATACTACTAGCTCTTAAAACCGGATGAAACCATCACAGAAGATCGCTACCGAACGCAAGTGATGCGCCTTAGGCGAGCTAAAAAAAAAGTGGCCATGACAAAGTCATCCTCCAACACGACAATGCTTGGCCTCACGTCGCAAAAGTGGTCAAAAAGTACCTGGAAACGCTGAAATGGGAAGACTTGCCCCATCCGCCGTATTCCCCAGATGTTGCCCCTTCTGATTTCCACCTATTCCGTTCAATGGCACACGGGCTGGCAGATCAACATTTTCAATCCTCCGAAGAATCGAAAAAATGGATTGCTTCATGAATAGCGTCAAAAGAGGACTCCATTTTTCGAGCCGGGATCTGAAAGTTGCCGGAAAGATGGGAGAAAGTTGTCGCTAGCGAAGGACAATACTTTGAATAATATATCTGCAAGCACTTTTTCGCAATAAAGCTTTTAATTTTGGAAAAAAACAGCGGAAGAAAAGTTGTACACCTGATAAAAAAAAAAATAATATAATACAAATCTTTTATAGTTTCATACTTACATACATATCGTGTGTCGAATTACATATGTCAAGAGTATTGTATTAAATCAATTGCATCTTTAAAATCGAAGTGCTCAAGTCAGTATCAGAAATAAAACAAAATAAATTCAAACAAAAAAATGAGATTTATTTAATTAAAAAATAAAATAAACTTAAAATTAAAATTAAAATAAAAAATATTTTTGAATATGAAAAATGAGGAATTAACTTTAATTTAATTAAATTAAAATAAATCAAATAGAAAATAATTTAAACAATCAAAAATAAAAATTTTGAAATTTAATTTAATTTAATTGATAGAAAAATGGTATGGCATAAATACAAAAAAAATTAAAATAGAACTAAATAAAAATTAGTTATAAAACTAGAAACAAATTAAAGAATTATATGGAATAATACTAAATAAAATAATATAAGACAAAATAAAATGAACTGACACTAAACAAACAAGTTAAATAAAATAATAAATTCCAAATAAAATAACAAAAAGAAATGAATTAAATGAAAATAAAACTTTATTATGTAAAAAAATAATAATATTTAATAATATAAAATAAAATCATAAAAATATACAAAAAATTATATGGAATAATACCAAAAAATAATATAATTAAAATATTTTATAGTGTCATACTTACATACATATGTTGCCTTGTTGCCTGCTTCAGCTTTCAACACATACATTGATTTTGTTCGTGGGTCGAGCTAAATATGTCGAAAGTGTTGTATTAAATCAATTGCATCTTTGAAATCAAAGTGTTCAGGTTAGTATGTACTAAATAAAAAAAATCGGTGCTTCTTTCTCGGTAAAATAATAAAAAATAATTTTCATTTATAATAAATAAATAAAAAATATTATAAAGAATAATAAATTAAGTAAAAAGATATCAGTAAATCAAAAAATAAAGTGAAGTAAAATAAAAATAAATAAAAAAGGAAATTCTTGGCACTTTATAACGGTTTAGGCAATTCGCTGCTGATATATGTATGTAAGTAAAGGACACTTTTCACGTTGACTTTTAAATTTTACCTTTATTGATAGCAAAATAAATAAATGTTTATTTTTATTAAAGTTCTCGAAAATCGTTTGAATTGTAATTGCTATGATTTTGAGTTTTTGATTTTCTTCCGCCACAGAGAGCCTAAAATTATGTTTTCAATTAAGCCGTTCGGTCAATATATATTAATATGAATAAACATTAGGGCTGTACTAAAAATACGCATTAAGCGTTCATATTTATTTATGACTCTCAAATCGATCAGATCTCCTAATAATTAATTATTTTAAAGAAACAACAACATTTTTTTTAATTAGGAAGGACTTCTCCGAGCCGTGCGGTACCAAACGAGGTTTCAGACAGGGTGACTATTTGTCGTTTGATTTCTTCAATTTGATGCTGGAGAGGTTAATAAGAGCTGCAGAGCTGAATAAAGAAAGTACAATCTGCTATAAGAGTGTACAACTATTGGCGTACGCCGATGATATTGACATTATCGGCCCCAACGACCGCGCCATTAGATCTGTTTTGTCCGGCCTTAATAAAGAAGCGAAGCGAATGTGTCTGGTAGTGAACGAGGACAAGACGAAAAATCTCCTGTTATCAAACAAACAGTAATCGCATTCGCAACTTGGCTCCCACGTCACTGTTGACAGTCATAATTTTGAAGTCGTAAATAACTTCGTCTATCTTGGAACAACTATTAACACCAACAATAATGCCAGCCTGAAAATACAGCGCGGAATCACTCTTGCCAACAGGTGCTACTTTGGACTGAGTAGGCAATTGAAAAGTAAATCCTCTCCCAACGAACGAAAACCAAGCTCTACAAGTCCCTCTTTATGGTGCGGAAGCATGAACGATGCCAGCATCTGATGAAACGGCGTTAGGAGTTTTCGAGGGAAAGCTTTAGCGTAAAAATTACGGCCCTCTAAGAGCTGGTAACGGTGAATACCCCAGCCGATGGAATGATGAGCTGTATGAGATATACGGCGGCATTGATAAAGTGCAGCGAATCTAGAAGCAGCGGCTACGCTGGCTAGGTCATATAGTCCGGATGGATGCGAATACTATAGCTTTGTAAGTTTTCGGTGCAGTAGCCGCCGGTGGAAGCAGAGGAAGAGTAAGAGGAAGACCTAAACTCCGTTGGAAAGACCAGGTAGAGGAGGCCCTGGCTGTACTTGGTGTTTCCAATTGGCGCCAAACGGAAAAAGGAAGAAACGGATAGCGCAATGTTGTTAAATTGGCTATAACCGCGTAAGTGGTGTCTACGCCAGTAAAGTAAGTAAGTAAGTCAGTTCCATGAAATATGATCGATCAAAAGAAATATAAAATACGCAGATAATAATATTCCATGCCCGGAATCTGGATCAGCTCTTAATTTATAAATCGGAGATGCAAACAAAGAAAGCTAAGTACGCCGTTCACGAAATGACAATGGTTATAATCCCAAAGTGGTTAGAATTTTCTTTCAATTGCTTGAGTTTTTTGATCTCCAGCACGTGATCCTGGCAGTCTTTATTATATTTTCAATATTGCTTTATTTGTTTAGTTTACATTTAGCATAATTTAAACTATTTGAATGGCACTTTTGTAATCATTAATAAACATTAATTAATATTTTAATCACATTAAGGATATTCACAGCCAAGATCACGGCTTAACCCTTTTGCACTTTAATATCAGCAATAAAACAGGCCACCGACTGGTTCAGCTCATCAACCAAATCCAATTGAACTTTCACACTCACTTCCGGATAAGAAGAATCAACATCAAATTTGAAATTATATACTACATCCTCAGTTTCATCGATCGGACATTCGGCGCCATATAATAAATTGCTACAGACATCAGCAACCTCATCGGGCAGCGGATAGGGTATAGTGATGCCTAATGAAGTAGCATGAACGACGCCCGTAATTTTCTTAGTGTTGTCACGAGCTGGAGAATATGAAGATAGCAAGTTAATCAACATTTATGTATGTATGTATGCATCTCAAAATATTTGAGAATAAATAACTTACTGCCCACAAAGTGCACATTCATGATAGCCGTCGAGCCTTTGATCACATTGCATGGCACCGTTTCGCAGCCTTCGATATCAACACTTAACGGAAAGGGTTGACCTTTTTTACCTGTAAAAAAAAACCACATAAATCAATAAAAGTTCTAAATTTTTATTATTTTCATAGAAACCAAAAAAAATGTATTCCTTTCAATTTAGCGGTCATAAGTTAATGTTTGGTATTATAAATTGTGCAGCCTAAAATGCTGCCATGATTTTTAATTTCTTCTAACAAGCCTCCCCGTTGGAAAATGCAATACAATACTTTTTTTCATGCTAAAATTTTTCGAATAACTATTAGCACTTGCTTTTCCCCCGAAGACCTGGATAGGATTTTCTAGCACTCTCAATTCGTTGCCAAAGATCTTCTTATGTAACTGGATCAGTACAAACAGTAGATTTTTGTGAAGTAAAGCCTGAAGCGTTTATCCTGTCCCAATTTGTGCTTAACGTCTTGATATTTTTCAAACAAATGGAGGGACCCACAATTTCTACTAAGCCGCCTCCGAATTGCTGATGGATATCTATGGAAAATTTTTTTTCCATTAAAAAAAAATACTTTTCTAGTGGCATACCCTCATTGAGCGTAATTTTTTTTTAATAACTTTCTATTATTTTAGGTGTGTTTCTAGCTAGTTTGGACCCGTGATCTCTATTGGCATTACATAGTTCAACGACTAAGTGGGAACAAAAACACTACGGCTCTGAAAAATTTTCGATTCAGTACCGGCCGTTGAAAGCTGTGAAAGAGGAAGACCTCGACTCCCTAGGAAAGTTCAGATGGAGAAGGACCCAACTTCACTTGATTATTTCCATTTGACACCGAAGTGCGAAAAGGCGAAACAACTGTAGTGATGCTATTGGTTGCCCGACCAGTACTGACGGCGACGGTTTAACACGTTAACCACAATTGAGCGGTAGTTGGATAAATAAATTAAATGTTTTCGTTTCTCATGAATTAAGGACATCCATCTCAACGAGTTCCTTGCCGAATCGTAATCAAAGCGACTCATTTTTAAGGAGAATTTCAATGTGTGGAACGAAAACAAATATTTATTCTAGGAAAGGAAAGTATTCTCCTCTGTGGTGGTATTGCAGAGATAGAGGTGCTTTCGGGAAATCATCGATTCCAAGGTCAGGAACAATCGAAATTGAACGAAGAAATCAAAAAAACTGGCCAATCCCTGTGGTGATTTCTTTCATCACCTGTCGAATGTCCTATCCATGGTAGAGGCTAGAGTAGGCTGTATATTGACCGTATCCCACAACTATTCATCTATCTAAAGTTGAGCTACCCGATAGTCTTGCCTCAGGACCTTCAGAATATCATTACCTTGTTAAAATTGAATTGGACAAATTTCTGTAGTTTTTACGGAAACAACTTTTTCTTTTTAGAAACGAACACAATGACCTCTCCATTATTAAAGTAAGAGCTCTACTTAGACTCACTGCTTAAAACACAAATATTTACATGCTCTCATTCATGTTTAGTTTCTGGCTTCTATCACGAAAACTTTGGCAATTTAAAGAATTTTTCTTTTTGATTTTGTAATTAATTAATTTGATTTTTTATTTCACTTACACTGTTTTACATTTGTAGCCGAGACTGTGGCTAACAAAAGCGCGAGACACATAATTGTTAAACGGTACATTTTTAAATCTCGAATAAAGCTTCTATATTTCTTTGCTGAAAATTTAAATATTTTTAACCCCTGGAAGCCCGAGTGTACCTCTTCGCCTTAAAATATATGAAACTGAAGTGATAGTTCGCTGGCCGCCTCACATACCTTAAATACTAAACGCTAAAGGCTACGGTGTTGCAGGTGCATGTTGAGTGCCCACCTGTTTTTTTTTATTCTGAAAATTAAAAGGTGCAGGTGTTCTGGAAAGCTTATCAGCTACATAAACAATATACGAAACTTAAGTTAGGGAAATGATAAGCTACTTTGCGTATAGTGTGTGATAAGTACAATAATGATTTCTCAAGCTCAACAGTATCATAAAAGTCCGATTTATGACTCATGTGCCGTCATACTTCGTATCTACAAGAGAAATGGTTTGGGAATAACCGAGTTATTCTACAGAACCTTCTTCGTTGTTATATTTTCATAAATTTGTTGGATATTTGCTGGGAGCTCAATGAAAAGTATTTAAAAAGTCTTGTTTTCAATACCTCCAAATGTAATTCCGACATACTCGTATGTATATACATACATCATATAAAATTTTCTTATATAAATCCATCAAAGTTGTATTTTAAGGCGCTTTATAGCCGCTGAAACGATTTTCTGCCGAGCTCCTCCAATTTGTGGTTTTATCGTCTTGATGTTTTATAACAAATGGAGAGATCTATAGTTTATGCTAAGCCGTATACGAACGGTTGATGGATTGTGATGAGGAACTTTGATATTCATATCAGAAATACATTCGGAGGCCTTGACATTCATTGCCCCGCGGCGAATAGCATGACACTTCGGTCGTGGTTTCGTATCCAATAGCATGGTACGCAGCTACTTGGGTTTAGCCTACGTCTTTGTTCACCAAGCCCAAAATAATTCGTATGGCTAGATAAATTATGCTGAGTACTAGTGGTTTCCGTAATAGCCGAGCAGTTAGCATTGCGTACTAACATTTGTTGGGCTATGACTCAAGTCCTGGTCTAACAAAAAATCCTAAATTATTTAAAATCAATATTTCTGATTGCAGTCGAAAATCGGTGGATAATATTAAGTCCTCCTGCGAGCGAGCACCTCATACACTATACCAGCATTTTGTCCCTCCACTTGTTGGATAACATAAAAAAAAAGTGTGTGAGACGATTCCGTAGTGTGTAGGTATACATATATATTTCAGACATCAGGAACTCTGGATACTTAAGAGATTCAGATCGCAGATTATGAATGACGTTTAATCTTTCGTCTAAAATAGTGTGTGCTTTCATCTCATTAGTAGAATTCAGGCGGTGAGTAAAGTTTAATATTTACTGCTTCACTGAGAATTTCGTTCGTTATCAGTATTTAAGATTTGGGGCCTACACCGTGATTTATGGCTCTCGGAACGTTGTTGTCAACTACTTGGACACAAATACAATAACTCCGTTTTGTGAGGAATGTCGGTGGAAATTAGTCAGGAAAGAAATTCTAGGAGTCAAATGTTTTACTCTCCTAAAGAAATAATTCCGAATGCGATTCAAGAACGTGCTGTTGGATTCACCAATACACTGACACGATTTCGCGCAGCACTAACACATATGCACATTTTTTTGTATTGCTTTCTCTTCTTAGTTTAAACAAATTGAAGAAGAATGCAGTTGAACGGATTATCCGATTTCCTTTGTTCTTATTTTCGATTAGAACGCCATTTTGTATCATTTTCTCCGCAGCAGATAGAAGTGAAAAATATATGATGAGGATCCTGTTCAGGCTGTGGTAATAATATATTGTCGATTAATTAACTTCTTCATTATTCATAACTCTATACTTTTTTTATTTAAGGGTGCTCCATATTGTACGGAAATTCTATTAATGGAGCAGATTAAGTAAAATGGGCGCTTGTCATCTTGCAGCAGCACATCTCAAAAATATTCGACAAAACTTTGAAGATAAAAGTGGAAAAAACATGCGCCTTTGTTTGCTAGAAAAAATGGCCCTTTTAATTTAAAAAATAGCTTGTTTTACTCAGCTTTTTTTGTCGTTTAGGCATTTTTTTCTAAAATTAGGTTCAAATATTTATGATTTGTTAATTAATTTAAGTAACATAATTTACTTTACTAGCAACAGTGGGAATAGGCCTGTGAATCTTAATAATGTTTGTACATCACGTTTGTCATTTCGGCCTTAAGAAAGTGATGGAAAATTGTTCTAAGAGCTGACGGAATATGTCGTCATGCATTCCTGACTTATGCTGGCTCAAATGATCGGAAACCTTCTTGCAGGGTGGTGACAATTGGAACTGACCATCGGTTCACCGAACAGAACTAATGTTGCCACATTGTTGTAGCGAAATTGTAATAGGCTCCCAAAATACATGCTAAAATATTATAATGCATTTTTGCATTTTTATTTATTATATTTTACATTTTGTAGAAAAATTGGCATTGCAAAGCAACTAACGCACTCTTCGATGTTTAAGAAATATGTCTAATGATAATTTATTACTGGATCTTATTTTAATGTGGCAAGCATATGGATCTAAGCGCCAAAGTATAAATTGATTTCATAAAAATCATCAATAAAATATGAGGAAATTCAAAATCTGATATATAGAATATATAATGAGAAATGGATTTGAGTAACATTGAAAATTGGGATACTTTCCTTCTGCGTTATCCAGGTATAATACTTTCAGGCAGCCGCGCTAGAGGAACAGTAAAAATCAAAGTACGTAACTCAAACTACTTTACAGTTAATTTAGTTTCTGGAATAAATTTTATTTACAGAATAAATGGTATCGCTTAAGACTTAATTGTCCATATTTTCCGCACCTTAAAGACTTTTCTCTGGAGATACAGCAGCCACAAAAAAATACCTTAGCAAAAATATCAAATAACGATCTTCAAACTCATTGGACGGTGTATGATGTTATGGAGAACCTGCCTATACTATATAATGATTGTGGTTTTGCCTTTTCCTCTAAAGAAGAGAAACCAGTAACAACAAATATCTACCAAGCAATTGCTGATCTTTATGCGCCTGAAAGGTATCTATTAGAGTTAGATGATCTCTGCACTCGCCTTCGCTTTTCCAAGTTTGAAGAAAATGAACAACATTATTTGCAAATTGAATTGCCATCACTGAAAATAAGTGACCATAGTTTACCAAGCTGTTTTGCTTGGGAAGAGCAGCTACAAAAATACGACAATATCTCGGCAATAGTACAACAATTTCAGAAGTATATTCAGGATTTACAACCATTTTACGAAAACTTCGCGGACATTGATGAGCTTTGCTATGTTGTCCAGCCCAGACCACCGGTTTCTACCAAATGCAATTGGCGTATATTTGTGTTACGAGAACGTGTCTACCTCAAACTTGTCATAGCGGATCCATTTGCGTCAATGGCATCTATGTCGATACAGATCATTGGACCGACACAAGCTGTTGAGGAGTTGAGGCGCACTCTAAGCGAAGGTTTAAGTACTTGGGATGCTGAACTAGATATACATAAAAACTTATTACGTATATTTAACCTATGTTACTTTCCTATGCCGCCTGGTAGCGGTTGGTTAGGTGGAGAGGCCGATAATGCGTCAACGGAGCCACAATTTTGTAATATATGCTATTCTTATCAATTAGATGAAGGTCAAATACCTATTGTGTCTTGTGACAATATAAAATGCACTATGATATACCACGCTGCCTGTTTAAAGGAATGGTTTAACACGTTGTCTGATGGGAAAGACTTTTTAAGCGTCTCGTTTGGAGCATGTCCGTTTTGCAAAACCGTAAGTTTTAAACGAAATTTGATATATTTATTTGTTAAATACCCGGACGCACGATTTTTAAAAATTATAATAAATATTTAATTTTTATAAGCTTGTTTTTCTTTAATTAAATTAACAGTGATGTTTAGTATTGAAATTCTCTTTGCAAAGAAGGAGAGTATTTCGACATATGAAAAACTTACCATTTTCACAAGCGCCTGTTTCAAATTTGAATAAAGCTAACAAACAACTTAATTTCTTAATTGTTTTTTATTTAAGTTTTAATTTCTTAGACATGCGCTGGGTATTTAGATTACAGTTCTTCTTGTCTTCACACTCTTTACTCATTGTTACAATATGATTCTTTTCATTTCTCACCACAGAAACTTTCAACATCCTTTTCTGAGTTATTGTTAAATTAATTTTTAGTCGATTTCGAAAATACTTAATAATAGACTATGAGTTAATATTTTTCTGTGTATGCAATTCCGTACCACATAAACAAAAGTTTGCTTATGTGTTAGCACATCAATTCAACAAATTTTTTAGTATACATTTTAGGGTAAGATAATCAAACCATAAATGGCGTTTTCTCAATGTTGTTTCAGAATAATTATGTAATATATAAATAGATTGATGCAAATAAAATAATTATTTATGTAACGGAGAAATCTTAGATTAAATGAAGTGAAAATAATAATAATGTCTAACATATCGTTCTTTTTTCAAAGACATGAATGTGTATGCAAAACAGCAGATTCTTAAATGCGGAAATAAAAAAATTTGTTGCTGATTGAAAAAATTTGGACATACTCTTGTTCTTACGCACACATTCCAATACAAGGTGAAACGTTCTGGCAACGGAAATACAAGCCGATATTGCATGTATTTACCGGTAATAACTGTATCATGTTATACTAAATCTAAGACATTTAGTTCATTTGCTTGTGGTAGCTGAGCACGATTAACCATCCTAGTGCAACAACAGTGACTACAGCAACAAAAACGTTTCACCACACCCCAAATTCATTGCATTTCACTTCGCACCAACCGCATCAAGCTTTGAAAAACTGCTATACGCGAACCAGTATTTCCCTGCGATCCCGATGAACTAACACGTACACTGGAGCTAGATATGCCAAAGAATGATTTTGGTACCAAATTCGGTTCGAGCGCCTTAAATTTCCATCCAATGTGTCGTGAGCAAATTTTGCAAACAATAATGTGCCATTCATAGCTGCATGCATGTATGTATATGAAAAGATTACATTTTATTAGCGGCTATTTGCGAATAACTGCACTGATTAAACTTACCCAGGAAACCAGCTGAATTCTGCAGATGGCTGGCCGCTATAGGTGATTGCGTCTGGTAATAGTTGATAAACTGTATTAGTTTCATGTATATAGCCAGCTGTAATTGTAAAAAAAAAAATTAATGCATTTCTTAATAGTCAACTAAATCCCACTTCCAGAGCTCACCCGAATTGCAATACTGCGTTTGCACACCGTGCTTGGACATAGCGAAAAGTTGCTGGCAATTTGCAATGCGGTTGTTACAATAACGGCAAGTAAATACGGAATCCTGGAAATTAACGGACATAGACATTAGTTATTAAAGTTATTAAAAATCTGACGTAACTAACATCTGTAAATGTATTCGATATAAGTTTCATACGCATATTGACTGAATCGGTCAGAAATATGGTCTTCATGAGACTATCAGAGAGATGCAGGTTCCGTACTAGCCAAAATGACAACTGTGTGGGATCTGTCGGCATAGTTTCGATTTTATGCTGCGCCAATTGTGAACGCGCCTTTTCCACAATTGATGTAATACTATAGTATTCATAAACATGGGCAGGCCAATGAGTTGTAGCAGCTTGATAACGTTTATAAGTTTCACGCATAGAGTCTATATCCCGGAAACGGTTGAGTGAACCCATGTCAATGCATTTAAGTGGTTCACGCAGATATATTTCGGGCAGAATTCTCACGTTACCATAAACTTTGAGTTGCGGATGGGCGGCTATGAAGGAAAGTGGTCTAGAATAGAATAAAAAAATTATGAATAAAAAAAAACAAAAAATAAATGTAATTTCTTTTATTACCCTGTTACTTGACTGCCTTTAGTGACAAAGCGTTGCAGGGCCCGAGATTTGATCAAAGTATTGCCACGCTCATCTGTGCCCTTTTCGTAAATTTGACATGTTACACCATAAAAGTTGTCATCGGCATCTTCGACACTGCAAAGCGTTGGGAAGCAAACTCCGAAAAGGAAACCATTTCGTACATTCATATCCGATTCAATAATTGAGCCCGAGATCATAAATGGCAGCACTTCGCCGGGAAATAATATGTGTTGATGCATAAAAAGCATCATGTTGTATTGCTGACCCACCGTCAAATAATGTACGCCAGACACGCGGTCCATATTTTCACCTAAATAAGAATGCTCAGCTGGCAGATTAGTGTCGAAGCTTACTGGGTTTTCGGGTTCCGGTTCTTCAATTTCCTCTTCATTGTTTTCCGACCCAACACGTCGGCGTTCTCTATTATGTTCCATTGTAAAGAAAGCGCTTCTTAAACGTTGCATAAAGTTCTCACCACCACGTCTATTCTGAACTAGCATCTCCCTGAATGCAGCCCGCATCTGGTCGTCTGCAAAGAGAAATTTTTCATAAAAGTATAATATTAAAGTGTGATAGACCTACCATTAAAAGCGGGTTCTGAGGATGTTGAAGCATCATCAGATATATCTTCCAAAATGAAATCATCGTCCACATCGTCTTCCACTATTCCTTGTTGCTCTGCACCATCACCTTCACCTCTCTCTTCACCCATATCGTCGTCAACTAAAAGTGGCTCTATTAGAGGAGAAGGATCAAAACCTGCGACGGCTGCAGCACGTTCAAGATGTACTTCAATGTCTTCGTCGTCAAATATATCCTGTGATTCGTCGTGCGATTCGTTATCAGTTTCATTCATTTGTGCATACTCATTTTCAATATCCATATTGTTTGCAGTTGATGTGGAATGTTCCACCTCCCGGTTGTCTATTGCTTGTGACTCAATTTCATTTTCCACTAAATCGACCGGATCAGACATTACAGCAACAGCCAATGTATCTGGAATTTCTGCTATTGCTTGCTCCATCTCTGATGCATTTTCTTGAATGCTAATACCCTCTGCTACATTCTCGACTCTGGACGTTGTTGCACTGACCTGATCAGCTGAGTTTGTTTCAGTGCTGGGCGAATCTCTAGCAACCCTTCCATCTGCATTAACTTTTGGTATAAAGGACACGCTGTTATTTCTACTCTCAGTAGGCGATACAGGTTCGATATTTTCATTTGGATTAGTTATTTCTACAACAATGGGCGACTCCTCCGTTGGCAAGGCTCTTGCAGCCCCACTCGTATTCGGTACTTCTAAAAAAAAAAAAAAAAAAGAAAACGAGAATTAACCAAATGAACATATTTTTTTACATTGCCATTTTAGACAAAATACATTTTAATACCTGCAGGCTCCTGTGTATCCATTAAATAATTTATTGTTATCCTCTCAATTTTTATTTTTCAACCTTTTGCGTCGGTGATCCCATACAAATTTCTTGTTTTTATTTGTGTTATTTTTTTAATATATCGTTCTTCTTCTTCTTTTGGTGAGTTCTATAATTCTGTAGAAATTTTCTCACAGGCGAATTTATAGAAAGTGAAGTTGTCACATCATATGACTGCTTGTTCTTGTTTTCATTTCGCCAAGTTATACAAACAAAAACATGAGTTTTGAAATATTGAGCGCAGGATTGCACAAGCCAAATATAATATATTGGTATATTGATCGGATTTCACAAACAAAATCATAAGTTTTTTGTTTTTGTAGTCATCGTGTGTAAATTTGACTCGGATTTTTCCTAATCACCCTCCATGATTTCGCAAACCCTTCAAATTCGAACAATACAGTCTAAATAAAAATCACAAAACTTGTTTTCAGTTTAATATTACAACACACAGATGACGCCGTGGTTGTCACTGTCAAGCTCCTAACTCAAGTAAATATGATGTTGTGTTGACCGCCGCTTAAATATACCCACACCTTTTATCGTTAGCATTTCTAGTTAGTTCTTATTTTAATGTTCTCAATAACGAACATTCAAAACACGGTTTCAAGAACAGCCTTAAGCTATTAGCCCATTTATTTTAACTGTACAATCGTATATGCTATTTTCGCGAAATTGCTGTTGGTAACCGTGGAAATATTTATTTTAATTCATATGGTTGTAATTTTAAGCAAATTAAATACACGTAGACGAATACCTTTTGTAGTCATTGTTAAAGATAATTCACAGAGTTTTGTCTCGACTTTAGTCGGTGTTATGTTTTGGCAAATACCTTCGAATTATGCATTTATAAGAGTATGAACAAGAAATATAAAAATAACTGGGTAATTTTTAGTTTTTCATAGTGGTATAGATTCGCTTTGCTTTGCGCAATAGCCAAAGTTTAGTCTGTGAAGCCAGGTGAGCAATGTATCATGTGAATATGTCTTTATGTTTATTTCACCACTCTGAGTGCTTTTAACCACATATGAGTTGTAATTAAAGTGTTCATTATGATGTTTTAATATTATTTTGCTTATGTGAACCTTAATATGTATATTGGACAATTTAATAAAAAAGAAATCCTTTTACTGAAATTTTTTATATTTTTCTCCCACCTCTTCAAAAATACATATTTATTTAGTTTATTTAATGTACGATTTTTTTTTCTTGTTTCCAACACTGTTCCCGATCAGCTGTTAATTGTTTACTGCTGTAAACGATTCAATTGATAACAACAATTTTTTTGTATTATATTACATATGTAAATAAATTTTTAGTTTAGTCTAGAAATTATATTTAAAATGACTCGTTTTAATTGGAGAGTTTTTGGAATATTTCAAAAGTTAATGTGAGTGTGTTATGCCTTTTTATTCGTAAACAAAATAGTACACATTAACTAATATTTTTAATAATATTTATAATAAAGTTAAGTGTGTTTTTTTCTAACAGCTCTAGATATCGGGGTCGATGTAGTTACGCGAAGGTATGGCTGCGGAGGCTTTTCACAAATTTTGATTCGGATACATGTTTAGAACCGATGTTTTGGTTCGTAGACAACTATACGCATTTACTAGGGCCGGTGAGTAAACATCGTCACGCATTTAAAAAAAAAAATGTTTTTAAACAAAGTTCTCCCCAGTTCTTTCTTTTTGCTGTTACGGGACTTACAATAGCTGTAGTTATAATTGCCTATTGGATTGGATTGCCCTTTTGGTGGGAAAAGAGCCCTAAAGCAGCAGTGGTCTTAGTCATCATTGGTAATTGGCTACTTCTTAATGTAGTCTTCCACTACATAATGGGTGTGATAACACCACCTGGCGAACCACCGCAAATGGTATGTATCGAACTTGTAAACAATTATTGAAGAGAGCATTTGAAAATTTCGGTGTTCAATATTAAGGATGATGGCTCATTTGCGGTACGCAAGATTTGTAAAAAATGCAGTTTGCCAAAAGCGCCACGTACTCACCATTGCTCCATATGCAATAAGTGTGTGCTGAAAATGGATCATCATTGTCGTAAGAAAGTTTTTATTATATTGTGTTAAGACTTAGAATGGTTTTTCTTCTAGCTTGGCTCAATAATTGTGTAGGCTTCTTCAATCATCGTTACTTCTTTCTTTATATGGCGTACACAACCATCGGTTGTCTTTATTTAATAATTTTCGGTTTTGAAATTGGATTTAAATATTTGTGGTACGAGCATGGCGAAAGATGGATAGAGTCAGAGCCATTGGAAGGGCAGCCGGTAAAATTTAATTTGAGTGGACATATTATACCAGTGGTAAGTGATTAATCAAAAGTGCGGTATTAAATTGCTCCAGTTTCTATGTTATTGCAGACACATGCACTCGAATACGACGATGATGTACTACTGCCTGCTAAGCATGCACTGCCCACACCACCCAACTCAGCCGAAGACGGCAATATATATACAGAAGGCAAGCGTCATGCTATTATATTTATGACTGCGACCAATGTAACTGCGGCTCTGGCGTTGGGTGCGCTTACCGTATGGCATGCAATGCTTATAACGCGTGGAGAGACAAGTATTGAGGCACTAATAAATCAAGAAGAGACCGAACGTTTGGGAAAAGAAAATAAAACTTACGTAAATCCATATAATTTCGGCGCACGTAAAAATTGGAAGCTATTTTTAGGTTTAGTGCGAGGCAGGTTAGTATTATAACTTTAATGAAATAAATACAAATAATTGCGTTACAAAAAAGTAATCTCATTTAACCTTCCAGGTCGTTTTGGCGTTGTGTTTTACTACCTTCATGGCACAAACCGGAAGGCAACGGCTTGATTTTCCATACTGTACATGATGAACGGGCGAATTTATCGGCAGATGAATGGCCATAGTAGCAAGAGAATGTGGAAATGATTAAATAATTGAGAGCACAACCACAACATTTGCCATTGAGGATACCAAATAAAATAAGTAATTTTTTGTTTTTATTTATTTCATATAAATTTAAGAAGCAACAAAACAAAAAAATTATCATTCCTATCGCGAGTTTTTAACTAGTTATTTACTAAAGTGTAGTTAAAGCTTATATTAGATTTTGCCATTCTCTAGAAAAAATTAAATTGTATTTAGAGTAGTCCTTGAATAATTACAATTTGTAAAGTATTACTAGTTTTACCACATCTTATAAGATGTGATCTCTCCTTGATTTTATCTCGGTTCCTTAATATACTAAATGCAATAAATGCTGAATTTTGTATTAAATTTTTATTTTTGTATGTTACACTGCCAACACATTACCTTTTCCTTTTAAAAAGTCTAAAGTTACAAATTTCTCCATCGTAATTGGCTTAGGCGTTATTCACGCAATTATAATTATAACGGTCGTAAAGTACGGTGCACCGATCTGGGCGCCGAGGACTAGCAAGACGCTGTTGAAGAAGTTGAAAACCTGCCGAAATACCGCTCTCAGTGCAAGCGATTTCTTCCGGGATGCTAACTTAAGGAGTACTCCAACAGTCACTTATTGAAAGCCGAACCACCACCACCCAGGCAAATCAGAAAGGGAGTACTAGACCTAAAGCTAAACGCCAATAACCGAGAGTCCGTCAACACCTGCATAAGCTCTCTTCTATGAATAGTGTTTTCGGAGTCATACCACCACTTCTTGCAGACGAAAAGATCGAGCAGCCTCGAGAGTCCGCGTAATGCTGGCACAATTTTAGTAGACTTAATTTCTACTTAGACAGACTCGATCCCGACATAATTAACGTAAGTTCTGCTTGCAATGAGCCCCTAGATCGACGCTAAGCACCTCTTCGCATGCTTTGTAAAACTAACTCATCTAACCTCCCTTTCCCTCTGGTCAGAACCCGTCGAAACTACCCATGATCTGATCAGTGTGGTCGCTGTTTCTTGATATATCGATGTTAAAAATAGTTATTTAGCGTTGGATTTCACGACTGGCACTATTGTGTTATGGATGGTTCATATATAGACGAAACTGTCTACAACTTCAAAGTTACTAGAGTTACATGGGAGCCAAGACGGGAATGCGCTGACTGTTTGTTTTTGCCGTCACCAGACCGATGTAGCATTACGTTTTTTTTACAATATTAAATTAATGAAAGCACTATGAGGAGTGTAAATAAATCTGCCTAAAACCTCGTTTGACCTCCCCCAATGCTGTTTCTGTTTGACCTACCCCAATCTTTCTCAGCATCTGCCGTAATCTTTGCGGTGATACCAAGTTCAGACATAGCGTCGTAGAGGCAGATCCTCTTCGTTCTGTCAAAGGTAGCCTTAAATTCGGCGAAGAGGTGGTATGTGTCAATTGTTTTCTCAAAGTGTCAGGTCTTTCATGCATTAACGTTTGGTTATATATTTAGATACAATACTTTACATAGAGAATTATGTTTATATTGAGAAGTCTTATGCCACGATAATTGGTGATGTTCCTTTTTTAATGGTTTGGGCATAGCATTTCAATACTCGAGCTTACTTTAGTGCGGTAAGTAAGACTCTTGGCATGCCGTATGCCTAATATTTCTTGTAGAATGTTGTATGGAATCGTTCCTGATGTGTCTGGGTGGAGGTTGGACTTCAAGTAAGGCCCTTTTGTCATGATCCTGACGGTAGAATCCTGGCAGATATTGCTTACACAGCATAACATAACGAGGGGATTTTACGGGTGGATTTGCTCCTGTTGGGCTCCATACCAAGAACTGTTGTTTGGTTCCTGGATCGTGATAGAACCAAGACTCGTCACCAGTAACGACTTTACTAAACTTACGAGACTGTACATTTACAATACAGCCATGACATTCCAGCCCAATTCATTAGCAATCATTTCTTGTGTCAGTTTTTGACTTCACCAAAGCTACAGTAGCGTCATCAAAGGAAGATTTTGGTTGACTTACTCGGGGCTCGCCCTATACGGAAAAATGACCGGTCTGGAATCTGCGAAATCATTTATAAATAAACTTTAAAAACGGTGCAATCGTTCCATATGCAATTTGACAAGATCTGTTTGCGTTGAGGGTGGAATTTCGTCTGACCTATCCTCAGCTATCTTGCTTTTTCTCACCCGCATTTTAGCCGATCGTTCTAAAATTTGAATGAAAGACTAAAAAAGTAATTACAAAGGGTTTGATATTTTTAGATTTAACAAAAACCCATTGAAAGTCACCAACTGACCAAACTTTTGATAATTTCTTCGTAAGTGGACGTTGAAAGCAGAGTTTTGACATTCTTGTATCGTCTTCAAGTTCGATCCTATACTCCTTTGGTGGGATAGCAGTTTACATTCGATTACTCATCTCGTTTATATGCTGGCCAGACGCAGAGATACCGGACAGTCATCGGCTTAAGAGATCAAAGAAACGCTTCGATATGCAAAAATTATTAGAACTTGGGACACCACCCTGCGTAAACCATTGTTCATTTTAACGCTGTGTTGAAGCGGGAACATCCCCAGCGTTTTGCCATTCAGAAATCTTGGACTTCTTTATTTTTCCATAAATGACATTATTAATCTGTATTTCGCGTTGCATAAATCCGATCAGGTACCGCTAGATGGCGTTAGAAAAATGACATACAAAAGTTTTTCTAACTGTTTTGTGATTGATTGATTCGGATTTGTTTTTCAATTTCTGTTTCATTCCGGTCATTTTGATGTCAAAGATGCTTAACGGGGTGGAAGGCCAATTGTCGAAAATGTCGTTAAAATCATGCACATTGTCGAGTCCGACCGTCATGTAAGCACTGTTTCGATTGCCCAAGAGCTAAAGATTGCACGGAAACCCGTATGATGTATGGGTGCAACGCGAGTTAACGTAAAAAAAACTTCATGGACCGAATTTCTATCTGAGAATCGTACTTACTGTCAACGATTGGACCGTCCGAAGGAAGCAATCGCACAGAAGCGGCCAGCTTTAGCTAATAGAAGAAGAATTGCGTTTCATCAGGACAACATCAGACCACACACATCGATAATGACTCGCCAGAAATTCCGGAAGCTTGGTTGGATGGTTCTTACGCATCCATTTTATAGTCCGGACCTGGCACTAACTGATTACCATCTGTGCCTGTCCATAGCGAATAATTTTGCTGGTGAAAAATTCGCTTCCAGAGAGGCTTGTGAAAATCGATTGTCTAATTTTTTTTGGCAATAGGAACGAGGGTCTCTATGGCAAAAAGTCCTCGAACAAAACGGCGCGTATTTGACCTCAATCGGTTCATCATAGCTATGGTACTTAGAGGCTTCAATTTTATGCATAAATAATGGATTTCTTTTTACTACATCAATATTTAAATCAAGGCTGTATCGTAACGATGCATTTCATGTTCATCCGAAAATTTCAATCGTTTCGGTTGAAATATTGAAAAATATTAACGTTAAAGCAGTTATCAAAATAAATTTCTTTTCGTCTTTATCCGAAGCGAAGAGTTGTCATTTATGTTAAATCTTTAACAGATAATGTTAAATCGTTAACAGATAATGTTAAATCAGTAAAAGGTTATGTTAAATCGTAAACAGATAATGTTAAATCGTTAACAGATAATGTTAAATGGTTAAGAGATAATGTTAAATCGTTAACAGATAATGTTAAGTCGTTAACAGATAATGTTAAATGATTAACAGATAATATTAAATCTTTAACAGATAATGTTAAATCGTTAACAGACAATGTTAAATCGTTAACAGATAATGTTAAATCGTTAACAGATTATGTTAAATGGTTAATGGTTATTAAATCGTTAACAGATAATGTTAAATGGTTAACAGATAACGTTAAATCCTTAACAGATAATGTTAAACCGGTAACAGATAATGTTAAATGTTAAAATTGAGGTATGCTGTTGATATCGTAAGAAGAAACAATTTTGAAATTAACTTTAACGATAAGTATTGTGCCGTTACAACGTTAACGATTTCATTTCGTTGAGTTATTTTTTCTTGTTAGCGAAACGGAATGAAATCGTTGTGTTTTTTGAGCGTCTCTGATTTTTACATAGTGGTTAATTAATCATTAAAAACAAGTTGTTGTTAAATTAAAAAATCTCATTAGAACCATCTTACATTTCCGGACGAATTCGCTGGTAACCTCTAGTATAGTAAAAAATATAAGATGCGTTAGAAAAGACTTGGCCGCAATATCTTATGTAGTTAATGCGCCCATTAATGGAATCACAGCCTTGATAACAGATTTATGGCTTTAAAATCGTTGTTGTTCTTTAATCAAAGCACACCAAATGTGAATAGTAAAACGAATAACATACATACTCGCATATGCATATGTATGTTTGTTCACATTTATGTAAAAATTTGCCATAACTAAATTAAATTGTCTAAATAGTCTTGACCAAATTTATATTAATTTTTTGTATAATATTTTATTTGCCAACATTTTATTTTTGTTATATTTATGTCAATTATTATACTAATTCGCATGTTTCTACTGCGGCAAAGGTTTTGCAGGCGCTCAGCGTAAAGAAATGCTAATTAAAAGTAGAAGCTTTATGTTGTCTTTGCTGCTTTTGGCGATTTACTGTGCCAACGGATTCGTCGGGCAGTCAAGTTCATTGAAATAGTTGGGCAATAGATCAAGGATTCACATTTGAATTTCAACTCTGGTTAAGTTAGTTGTTAGCCCAATGAAAAGTACAATTAATAAAAACAGTTATAAAGTAGTTTAGTGGAATATTTTAATTAAAATGCTCGGATTCTGACAAAGTAATGAGGCTGGTGTGTTGTAAAAGTTATAAATGAGTTTAAGAGTCATGAATGAATATATATATGTACAAGTTTTCATAAGACTTTTATGACTGGTATTGTGGACTTCTTCTTGATTTCGCTTCTGCTTAATTATTTTTCCACATGAAATAATTTTAGTGCCCTTTTAACAGTCATACATTTAATAGTTAAGAATGTTTTTTTTTTTGTTTTTATTTTGTTGTCATAGCTTAAGTCAATGCTAACTGCGAGTATGTAAATATCTTTGTATGTACAATGATACATACATACATACATGTGTAAATATTCGGATGCACAGTTTGTTTATATTTATTTTATTTAAATATTCCACTGACCGCCAGCCAATGCGCCGCACACTTGTCCACACCAACTTCCACTTCAGTCGCACCGATCATATCAACAACAATTTGACGCTTAAATGAACAGCTCCACAGCCTCAGTTCGACGACGACCACCGTCAGAGGTAGAGCACATAGCGCAG